ATGACATTAGCTACTTTATTTAACGTTGTTGTAGCTGTAGTTTATTTGATAATTTTGTTTTTAGTAGTCAGCAGTACTTTGGAGAAGATCTTACAATACTTCATTATGTATTGTATGTAGCAATACAGCATAAAAATATTGCAATATTATGTTTAAGCCATAGCGCCCAGTCCTAGTCATAAATAACTAAGAATTAACTTTATAAATGTGCCTTTGATTGGCATTTTACAAAACACTGTGTAGCTTTGCAAAAATAACACAGTGACATTGGCAAACAGCCTAAAAACAATGTTATCCACCTTTCAACTTACATTCAGTATCCTCTTTATCATTTCACCTAAAACTATCTCAGCTTGAACCATGTGCTTGACTGATCTGAAGAATGCGTGAGGTGCACACATTCTCACCGCACATTCTTCCTTTATAAATACCAGTTTATGTGTGGGTGTATGTATGGCTTGTGTGTGTGTGCATCATTATGCATCTGGGCCCTGATAAAGACAACTAACTCTATTTTGCCACACATAATGAGCTTACCAGGACCCAAACTCACCATTGAACAAGTGGTGAGCATGCAATGGCTTTTAGATCTCAAAACAGAACAACTGTGCTTTCTATATTTGGTCAGATTTCCCACAATAGTTGTCATCACTACATTAGAAGAGCCTGAGTCTGTCATAATCATCATTGGTAGCTATGCAGTCTCTATTATCACCATTTACAGCCTCTTAGTCTGGCAGCTAAATTTGTTATATTTTCACTTGATGTAAAAAAAAAAAAGATCAAAGTTGTAATTGAATAATTTTGTGTCAGTCAAAAAAATTACTTAACTTAATCGTCTTTCAGCACTAAGAAACTGTTTGAGTTCTCAAGGACAGTGGGTGAGCAGCTGTGTAATGAAACATTGATTTTTCTCTATCAGCTGACATATGACTACATTTTAGAATGGATTTAATGTCTTTTTTCCCTCCTCAGTTAGAGCACACGTAATAGACTGCAGTCAAGTGTGTCTGGATGTTGAAAGTGTTGCCGTCAATTATCTTTGTTGAATTTGATTTATTATTTATTATTTTTTAAAGAGCTGACAGACCAAGACATTTTACAGTGTAAAGGACAAAACTTTTTTTTTTTTTTTAATTTCTTTCTAAAAGTTTTGAAATTGCACCGTGAAAAAAATACATGACAGTCATTCCTACCGACCTGCTTCTCTGCTCTTCTGGCACCACTGCATGTTTTCATTGTTGTTTGGATTGCTTGTAGCATAATGTAACGATGTCTTCGCAAGTGGACAATATGATGGCACAAAAGACAGAAGTCTTAGTTTTCTGCTGTGAAGAAAAAGGTACTAGCTATTATAGTTTTAATTTTAGATCACAACAATCTCCCATGGCCATGATGGGATAATACTGTGGTGCATTTTTACCATTTTTTGGACTACTTGCAGCATAATGACATCATTACATGCGGACAGTGTAATGGTGCAAAGACAGATGCCTTTCCTCTCTGTTGCAAAAAGAATGCATGCTCTTGCTCTTATAGTTTTTATTTTAGATTGATTTTAAACAGGATCATGAAAACAAAAACTCCCTGCAGCTGCCCACGGAGATCTGTTTTCAGAGGATTAAGGAAAGGAAATTACAAAGACTTACATGAATTTATTGGAAACTTACCCTAACCACTACTTGCCTAACCCTAACCTCAACCACTGATTCCAAATCAGGCTTTTGTCCCCAGTTACCTAGACTTCAGTCTGAAATTTAGTCTGTAAAACTTCAGATAATAGTGACAAATGTCCATCATGGTGTGACATATTTTAAGTGGAAATCTTTAGATGTCTTGCTGATCAAGTGATTGTCAAGTAGTCAACTCGCAAAGTCAGGGATATCATGTCACCAGACCTAGTTACCTTCAGAGAGTCAATAGAAAAAAAAAGGTAATTTTCTATGTTCCAAGTGAAAGAAGAGCACCTAAAAGCACCATTAATTAGGTCTCTATGAGGTTAGACTAACTGATTTGGAATTGACCCTTCGCTAAGTCCCGCCCCCAGACACAGACTGGCCAATCATAACGTAGTATCGGGCCGGCTCAGACCAGGGTCCGACAACAACACAGCTGTGCTCCATTGACTCTAATGCAGTCGTTTCAGATTTCCTTCATTTTCAGGCTGGTTTTGTGGATTTGGAGCTAAATGTTGTGCCTGGGGCACGTTGTGTATTAATGATACTCGTTACCTGGGGAGGTTGGAAAAAGATATACAGTACAGGCCAAAAGTTTGGACACACCTTCTTATTCAATGCGTTTTCTGTATTTTCATGACTATTTACATTGTAGATTCTCACTGAAGGCATCAAAACTATGAATGAACACATGTGGAGTTATGTACTTAACAAAAAAAGGTGAAATAACTGAAAACATGTTTTATATTCTAGTTTCTTCAAAATAGCCACCCTTTGCTCTGATTACTGCTTTGCACACTCTTGGCATTCTCTCCATGAGCTTCAAGAGGTAGTCACCTGAAATGGTTTCCACTTCACAGGTGTGCCTTATCAGGGTTAATTAGTGGAATTTCTTGCTTTATCAATGGGGTTGGGACCATCAGTTGTGTTGTGCAGAAGTCAGGTTAATACACAGCCGACAGCCCTATTGGACAACTGTTAAAATTCATATTATGGCAAGAACCAATCAGCTAACTAAAGAAAAACGAGTGGCCATCATTACTTTAAGAAATGAAGGTCAGTCAGTCCGGAAAATTGCAAAAACTTTAAATGTGTCCCCAAGTGGAGTCGCAAAAACCATCAAGCGCTACAACGAAACTGGCACACATGAGGACCGACCCAGGAAAGGAAGACCAAGAGTCACCTCTGCTTCTGAGGATAAGTTCATCCGAGTCACCAGCCTCAGAAATCGCAAGTTAACAGCAGCTCAGATCAGAGACCAGATGAATGCCACACAGAGTTCTAGCAGCAGACCCATCTCTAGAACAACTGTTAAGAGGAGACTGCGCCAATCAGGCCTTCATGGTCAAATAGCTGCTAGGAAACCACTGCTAAGGAGAGGCAACAAGCAGAAGAGATTTGTTTGGGCCAAGAAACACAAGGAATGGACATTAGACCAGTGGAAATCTGTGCTTTGGTCTGATGAGTCCAAATTTGAGATCTTTGGTTCCAACCGCCGTGTCTTTGTGAGACGCAGAAAAGGTGAACGGATGGATTCCACATGCCTGGTTCCCACTGTGAAGCATGGAGGAGGAGGTGTGATGGTGTGGGGGTGTTTTGCTGGTGACACTGTTGGGGATTTATTCAAAATTGAAGGCACACTGAACCAGCATGGCTACCACAGCATCCTGCAGCGACATGCCATCCCATCCGGTTTGCGTTTAGTTGGACGATCATTTATTTTTCAACAGGACAATGACCCCAAACACACCTCCAGGCTGTGTAAGGGCTATTTGACCAAGAAGGAGAGTGATGGAGTGCTGCGGCAGATGACCTGGCCTCCACAGTCACCGGACCTGAACCCAATCGAGATGGTTTGGGGTGAGCTGGACCGCAGAGTGAAGGCAAAGGGGCCAACAAGTGCTAAACACCTCTGGGAACTCCTTCAAGACTGTTGGAAAACCATTTCAGGTGACTACCTCTTGAAGCTCATGGAGAGAATGCCAAGAGTGTGCAAAGCAGTAATCAGAGCAAAGGGTGGCTATTTTGAAGAAACTAGAATATAAAACATGTTTTCAGTTATTTCACCTTTTTTTGTTAAGTACATAACTCCACATGTGTTCATTCATAGTTTTGATGCCTTCAGTGAGAATCTACAATGTAAATAGTCATGAAAATAAAGAAAACGCATTGAATGAGAAGGTGTGTCCAAACTTTTGGCCTGTACTGTACGTTTCTTCCCTGTTCCAAAACCGAAATCAAACCCTGTAAAGTGTAGGGTTAGCTAGCTACTGAAGATATAGCCTACTGAATGTATACACATGCTGCTTTTGCTTTTTAATGATTATAACAGTGAAAAAAAGGCCGACCCTGCTGTAGAGGAACCAGTGAAGGGAAGCAGGGAAACTTTGCTCATATTCAACTAGCTGTGTGTCAACGCATTGTGCGCAGATGAACGTTGTTTGACTTCTTCCGCAGCCCCCCGACAGTCCAGCTGCCAGTCTGGGTGCTGGGAGCGGCACGGGGGTGAAGCTCAAAGGCCCGAACATACTTGGGCGTACTATTAGCGGAGCAGACTTCGCGAGGAACGTCCGCAGTCATTCGGACTTTCACAGTCGAGCACACTTCCGCAGTGTAGTTTCCTGTAAAAATGAAAAATCCCCGCAATGTGAAAAATACATGCCGAGCAGTCACTGGTGCACGGAGCGGAGTCCGCGCAGTCGTAAAATCTGAGCTTTGCGCGCACAGGGCTTGCGGTTGTCCACTTTGAGTCCACGTGGACCTCCGCGGAGTCCGTTCCGTTTAGTGGTCTTTACACTGTTCATCTGCACACACTGTGATGCCACACAGCTGGTTCAATATCAGCAAAGTTTCCCTTTATATTCATTGTCTTCTGTGGCGATCAGCAGTGATGTGGTGGTTCACTTTTACTCTGTGATCTGTAGGCTTTAGCTTCAATCTTTGTTTTGTTACCTTGATTTTGTTGCTGTGTCAGTCTGACATCCTGAATATATCCTTCAAATGCATATTGTAGACCCTTCTGTCTACTTCTGTCTGAAATTGCTTTTTTGTTTTTCCAAAAATTTGAGAGCAGGCTGTTTCTCCAGGGAGTGCAGTTAGCGACAGTGGGAGCGCCATGCCAGTCTAGCTCTGAAACTGAAAGTTTGTCGGACTTAGCAACAGTAACTAAGGGGGGCGGGCCTTAGCGAAGGGTGAATTCAACCCAGCTATTGGGTCCTCCAAGGAACATTCCGTCATGGGTCATATCTTTGAAGGATCCAGTCCCTAAATAGAAACACATTTTCTTCATGTGTATTTGTATTGAATCTCTTACTGCCCCTGCAGGTGCTGGTGTCAGATGGTGGTCCTAGTCCCAGGCAGAGTACAGTGTGGGTGATGGTACAAGTCCTGGATGAAAATGACAACAAGCCCACATTTCCCGAGAAGGTCTACCAGGTCAAGCTTCCAGAGAGAGAGCGGAGAAAGAAGGGCGAGCCCATCTATCGGGTGTTTGCCTACGACCGTGATGAAGGGCCCAACAGCGACCTCTCCTACAGCATTGTCGACGGAAACGAAGACGGGAAGTTCTTCATCGACCCCAAGACTGCAGTTGTATCTTCACGCAAGGCCTTCACTGCTGGGAGTTATGACATCCTGACTGTACGCCAAGCTGCATCAATTATTAAGCATGTCTGCAGGTTTTAGGCCAGTCAGTTTAATTTTCTTGATGCAAAGTGTTAGCCTGTGTCTAGACTGCAAACGTCAGTTCTACATATATGCTCCCCCAGGATCCTGTGTTCCCCAACTCTGCAGAACAAAATGGGAACCTGGCAAAGATTTTCCCCAGCTCTATATTTGTTTAATATGATATGAGTTAGGTAAGGGGTCTTAGTCTAGGTTAGGTTTGGGCTGGTGTTAAAAAACTGGTTTGTTTGGACTGGTCCGGTCCCAATTTTACCAGGTGTCACCACTCCCAAATGGAACATTATAACACCATGTCTCAAGACCAAATGATCATCACTACTGTTCATTTGCATCACAAAACTTCAGAGCTCCCTGTCCACAGTGAATCCATTAAATATGCCTTTCTGTTAGGTTCCTACATGTAAACATACAACATAAATATGAACTGTTTGCTCAAGATCAGACTGGAGATGTAACCACATAAAAGATGATAGAGTAGCCTACTTGCTATCTTCTTACTCTGTAACGTCACTTTTTTAAACAGAAAACACATGTTTTATATTGTGATAAATTAATGGAAATGACATACAATATGGGTAACTGTAAGTAGCCTCGCTTGTTATCGGGGAGGAACTCCGGCCTCCACCTTATTTAGGTTTTGATTGTGAAATATGAGGGTATCCTGTAGATAATTCCTCATTTCAACTCCATGAATCAGCTGTTCCTTACTACATTATTATTATTACAGGACTCTCAAAGCAAATGACAGATACAAATATAAACACGGCATCCGACAAAAGTTCAGTTCAAATACAAAATGTTGCCGTATTAGTTTTCTTGTCATGTCTCCTCTCGTCCCCCAAAACACATGAACTTTGTTATAAACAAACACCGCATGTGCCACTCTGCCCCACCCATCTCCTGACATTTTGTCTACTTCATGTTGCCAACGCCAGCCTTGGCTCACAACCAGTCAGACACTAGTGGCAATTATATAAACATAATATTATGTTGACCACATTGTCATAGTGCTTATTATTAATGCAATACATGTTGGATTTAGTGCTGTGGTGCCATCAGGACAAATCGCCAATTTAGACTACTTTTGCATTTGCTAGAACCTGCCATAATGACAAATGCCAGATCAGCCAGTTTGCATAAAATCAAACCAATTTAAACTCATACACCGGACCAGACCTGTAAAATTGGAAATCAACCCAACTCTAGTCTAGATAATAGCTACTCTTTTTGTGTTTTTTATTTTATTTTTTTGTTTTATCGTTTTAACTTAATTTAACAACTAAATTTAAATATATTTCTGCAATCAAAAACCAACAACCGACTTAAAACAAACAGCTGATTTGCAACATGCGAATGTGTGGAGAAAGACTCCCAAACACATTTCAGCCCCAAATTTAAAATAATATCAATTGGTCCTGCGCTTAATTAACCAATTTAAAGAGAAAAAAGAAAGAGAGAACAAAAGATGAAAAGGGAGAAAAATAATTATTTAACATGTACGTTCACACCAGAAACTTCCAAAGAGGCAAAGTTAAAAATAGTGTCAAAAATATTTGTGGCAGCTTTGGTCGCTCTTGTCGCTCATCACGTGAATAATTGAACGTTCAATCGTGCTTGTCAATTTAATTTTTTGGCATTAAAATCAGCTCAGCACATGAAAGAAACCTGCCTGATGCCCAACATGTTCTCATCCCATCTCGTTAAATATCACCACTTTGTCGTTGGACCTACACATATAAATATGACGCCATGTACCCTCCTGTGTTTGTTTTGGATGATCACAGACGGCGTCTCTATTTACACTTGTTACATGCATTGTGTCGTTTTAAAACACACTTCCATTTTCACAGGAAATGTACAGTTTCTGCTTGTTAGATGCATGACGTCTTTGCCAAAATGTACTTACAATGTAAGCAAAACACTTAGTTTTTTGGTTGATACCTCAGGTTTAGGCAACGAAAGCACATGGTTAGGTTTAGATAAAACATCATCCAGGGGCACTGAAAGCTGTAGCCTTGCTGTGTGTCAACCACTTTGTGATTATTGAGGCTTAAAAAGAGTGTCGCAATCAAGCTCATTCATTAATTCAGTTGCATACTTGAATATTGAATTTTGCTAAATTTTTTTAATAAATGAGGACAAAAATAAATTTAAAAAATCAATAAATAAAATAGAGAATTGGAGGAGCTGGAATACATAGAACATACATAGAACACATAGTATCACATGGCATCTTGCAAATCTTTCATCAAGTTAAAACATGTTCAGTTCAACACATGCACCTTTGTCTCAGATTGTGCCAGCTGTAAAGTAAATTCATCCCAGTATCCTACAAAATATGTACATATTGGACAGTTTAGCACCTCACTATTTACATCCAATGCCAACATTCACTGTCAGTGAAGGATGTAGTGTATCCTTTATGTAGCGAGGCACAATATGAGGGTGTGAAGGTCAGGGTGGTGGATGAATATGTAGTGCATGCAAGAGACTGTTTACATCCCATAACACAGTTGTAATAAATGTTCACTTTTCTTAACTGTAACCAAACTGTAGCTCAATCAATCAATCAATCAGTCAATCAATTTTATTTATAAAGCCCAATATCACAAATCACAATTTGCCTCACAGGGCTTTACAGCATACGACATCCCTCTGTCCTTAGGACCCTCGTAGCGGATAAGGAAAAACTCCCCAAAAAATCCTTTAATGGGGGGAAAAAACATTAGAAACCTCAGGAAGAGCAACTGAGGAAGGATCCCTCTTCCAGGACGGACAGACGTGCAATAGATGTCGTACAGAACAGATCAACATAATACATTAACAGTAATCCATATGCGGGGTGTCGGTAGCGTAGTGGATAGTGCTGGCGCCCCATGTACAGAGGCATTGCCTCGCTGCAGCAGCCGCGGGTTCGAATCCGGCTTGCGGCCCTTTGCTGCATGTCAGTCCCCACTCTTTCTCTGTCTCCCCGTTTCACTCACTGTCCTATCATTAAAGGCAAAAAGCCCATTAAAATAATCTTTAAAAAAAAAGACAAAAAAAAAAAACAGTAATCCGTATGACACAATGAGACAGAGAGAGAGACAGACAGAGAGAGATGCAGGACAGACGGTAATGACAGTAGCCTACAACAACATTAATGAAAGTAATGATATTATAATAATATTATAATAGATTATAATCTTTAACATGAAGATATTATAGAAAGTAAGACTGTCTTTGGCATTGGACCTGATCTGGGTTTTTACCTAATCCCCTAGTATTGACACACTAGTTTGGGGTTGGCCTTCACATTGCATCTAAATGGGAATTGCAGTACTCAGAACAATCCATGCATTGTTGTTTTCTGTGTAACTACAAGCTATTCCTGCATGACTGACTCTTTTGTGAGCCTTTTTCCTAGTTCACAATCTAACTTTTATGCTTGTCTACTCAGATCAAAGCAACAGACAACGGGCGTCCTCAGAAATCCTCAACAGCTCGCCTGCACATTGAGTGGATTCGTCGACCTCCTCCCTCTACTCTCCAACTGCTTTTTGACGAGCCGTTCTACAATTTCACTGTCATGGAAAATGACAAGGTGGCAGAGATCGTGGGTGTGGTGTCCCTGCAGCAGAGCTCCGCCCCCTTGTGGTTTGACATCACAGGTAAAATCTCCCTGTAGGTGAGGACGATCCTCTGTCAGCCAGTGGAGAGCTTTGTATAGAGTGAGGTAGGGTGTGCACAGGCTCAGTGCATGGTCTATGTTGGGCTGACAGTGTGTTGGTGTATGTTTGAGGTGCAGCTCAGGTACTGTTGTCTTGCTGCATGATCTGTTACGCTCTGCCCATCCCAGTAACCATGGTGACAGCTTCTCCAGCTGTCAGGTCTGTATACCCTGTAGGAGATAAAGTATTAACAGCAGTTGGCAGTCTATGGACAACTAATATGAATCAAATTTAGGATAAAACTTTAACAAAACTTTATTCATGTTATTCTGAGACGCTTTTCTTAAAGGGACTTTCCCTTAAAGTTATTTAGTGTTATTTATAAGTATTAGTCATGACATATTTATGACTTTCATAATATGTCTGCTAAGAGGAATCACTGGTTCACTCTGAATAAAGAACATTCTGACAGATTTTAAAGCTAGTGTGACATTCCCCTATAAATTGGAAATGCCCAACGTGGCACACTTAAATCCTTTTGATCCGTCAAAGTTCACTTTCACCCACTTGAAAGGCTTAACAAGATTATGTCATGCCCAGCACGCTAAGCTCAATTTTTATGCATTATGTATGGTGATGATTCTGGTGTGGTAAAAGTGATTTGATAATTCTAATAGTTAGTACTTTTGATGGTAATTCTATTAGTTTTTAATGCCATTCAATACTATATTTATACTGACAATTCTCCAGCCGTGATGCATGCGCTCTTTACCTCTAGTCAGCCAACACTAGATGGATAACAGCAACCAGGAAGGACTGCAGTTCCCACAATGCACCATCCATCTCTCTTTTTGTTGTCACTGAGCAGTGACAGTCAGTGTGTATCCAGCTGGAGATACCTTCTGGCTCGTGCTTCTGGCTCTCCATAGCTCTGTCCATCTCTTCTCTCTCTTTCTCTCTTTCTCATAATGCCTCTGTCCATCCCTCTCCCTATCTGCATACATCCTTTCTCACTTCTTCATTCATGATTTTTCAGTGTGTACAGCCTTTCTCTGGGATCATATCTACATCTTATCTTTCCATTGGTTAATATTAATGAGGCAATATGAATCAACAACTTTGATTATATTTATTAAAAATCCCAGGGGGGAAATTTAGCATTACACGAGCACAAGAAACAGACTGACAGGTCAGCGAGAACAAGAAAGAGACTGTGCATGACGCATAATGCATTCTGCAGATCTAAATAATATTGTAATTATATGTATTTATTTAAACATTTGTATTAATGAATAATAAATACAATCAATACATAAATAATGCAAAGCCTCATATGTATTTATAGTATATAGAAATAGATAATATATATAAGTGCAATTTTAGGAATTTGAGGAAGTTTATATGCATATTACTAGTTAAAGGTATCAATACAACTGGAATTACCTTGTTAGGTTAGGGCAGTGTCAGTGATGAATGTCAGTCATGGTAATAAAACCAAAGCCCTTTTTACACAGAGATAGTGTTATAGGGTTTTTACAAACTCCTTTCTTTATGTCTCCTTCGCATATTTACACAGAACCAAACAACGGCGACATTGTCCAACTCCAGTGTGTGATTATGCACTGCATCGCGGCATTGCAGAATGAGAAGAGGCATGACGCTTAACACAACACCGTTTGCCTCATGTATGACATATAACATGTCAATAGTGCATTCTTAACAATAACAATGGCATTAATGTGTCAATAACAGTCATATACTGTCCCTGTTATATGGCAGCTAATGTCGTCCTCTGCTTGGAGGGCAAGGAGCTCCTGAATCTCATTGTTTTCCCAATTTACAGATATTTACGGCCGCTGTTCTTCTTCTTTGTGTTAGCTGCTAACAGCTACTTTAAATCTACTGTGGTGGGTCACACTCTTAACACATTGTCAAATCGTCACACATGTGCCACCCGTGATCCTGTCTTGCAGGCTGTCCAGTTTATGTAGACACTGCTTTGGCGCTGTTCCTACCTCCCATGGTGGCTTAAATTTGAGACCAATCTCCACCCCTTTTCCACGATCGTACGTTATATACAGAACAGCGAGGTGGCATAAAGCCATGATATTCCCACCCTGAACAGGTAGTGTAAAAGGGGCTCATGAGATGTGAACAGTGGTCCCCCCTTGTCAAAGTCAGGCACTTGTATGTTTGAGCAGCCACCCTTGCGTCCCTCCTAAGAGGGTATTTGGAACCAAAAATATCATGCAACTTTTCCTTTGCTTCTGCAAGAGACCACAAGAGGTCCTTGTGAGGAAAATGTTAAGGGGAAAATTCCCTACCATTTATGTGGATGTCCAACAAGTGTTAATGGTAAATGTACTTAAGATAAGATAAGACACACCTTTATTGCTCCCACAATTGAGAAATTCCAGTGTTACAGCAGTCAAGGGGACAGAGTCAGATTAAAGATTTCAAAATTTAAAAACTTAAAAAAATAGGCATACAAAAAATACAAGAGACAGCAATAAATAACAAACAATAATATACAAATATAACAAATACTTGATTGAAGCAATAAATTCTTCAGTGCATGCTATGTTGACTATGAAAACAGTCTGCAGCTGCAAAATCTGTTGTTCTTCTTGCATTCAGCGTTGTCATTTCATGTGATATTGACGGAGCTCGATGCAGGAAGAACTACGGGCTATTTCAGCTTGGACATCTATCCAGATATAGAACTTCTCTGTTCTCTTTGCTTGTATTGCAAGTGAAAAAACAGCAAATATGGCATCTCAAAATATGTATGCAGAGAATCGACGAGGATACATTTTACAGTGTTTGGCTGACTCGTATATTCAGCCGTATTTATTTGAGCAGGAGCCAAAGAAATGCAGTGGAGAGAGGGATATGGCTGGCAGGGAGCCTCCAGACCCTGAGCTGCCGAGAGCAAACAGCAACTGCTGGTGCCTTTACTCAAACTGCCCTCTGCGTGGGCAGTTTTTGTTGGTTGTTGTCACCGGCGCCAGCCCTGAGAGAGCCCTTGTGCGTGCATGAAAGTTTTACTCCTTACTTGGACAGAGGTGTTTTTTAGACTCTCTTCAGGATCCTGAAGACAAACTGGAAAAGACAACCAAGCCTAATGCTAAAGAAATAGCTACAGGCTATGGTGATGATACCCAGTGACAGAGAACAAAGCTCTCTCAGTCAATACAGCATGCAGTGAGGAATTTATTGCTTCAACTGACTACATTTACCATCAACACTGACTGGACATCCACAGAGAAGGTGATGAATTTTTCCTTTAACATAGGTTGTTTTAAGCATTTGAACAAATTACCAGTACTATTACGTTTCTGTTGAAGACATTCTTTAAATTCAATCCAACCATGTTCAGTTGGCTCTGCTGCCTTTAACTTTCACCTGGCACTCTTCCAAATGTGAAGACTGCAGAGGAAAAGCTGACTCTCAACAACTCTTGGTTGTACCCTGGGAACAGGCCAGTGTCAGATAATCTTTCCTAACAATCTTTTGAAGGGGCTGCAGAATGATCTCACAGCAGACAGGCATCATTAAAGCTGTGATTATGTGAGATTGTTATATTGACCTCATTAATTCATTGTTATATTCAGATCGTAGAAAAGAAAAGATCTTTGTTTCAATGTCATGAAATAGTCTGGATTGCAAGAAACATTTTTGTAAATGTTAAATGTTTTGTTGACGACAAAATCACAAAACTGGTTGCTTGTGATAAGAAAGCACATTTTAATGAATAATATCTAATGATAATAAACCTTCATGTCAAATAATATTAATAAATACTTTTATTAAATGTCCATTAGATATTGCTTGTCAGCAGCTTTAATTCACACTTGTTAGCATAAGTGTTGTTAAAGCCCACAAGTACAAAATGTTCTTCAGAGAATCAGAGAATATTTCCTGTTGGAATGTTTTTTAATACAGTGGCTGACAAGGAAACATTAAAAGCAGGAAAGGACATAACGTCAGTAACAGTGTTCAAGTTATGCATTGGAGACAGAGTTTGGTACAGCTTCTATTGAAGTTAATGGGGCGGGCACAGCAAATCCCACAATAACCCATCATATCTTTGTTGACTGACCTTTAAAGGGAAATTTCGGTTTATTTCAACCCGTCTCCTATCGTCCTAAATTTGTTTCGATTAGTGACATAGAAATAATAGTTAGCATGTTAGCCGTTAGCCTAGATACAGCCGTAGCGTCAGACCTGTTAAAACATAAGTGAACGGGCATATCTTCAAGTGCAAAGTTAGTCCACTAAACAAGCTTTTTTCCACAAAGACCGCCTCAAATCGTTAGGATAAATGTCAGAGAACATATAGAAAACGACATGTAAACCGGTGTGCTGCCATGTTTGTTTATCCCTCTAGCTCTGCTTTCCAAAGCGCGGCTGAAATATCAAGAAAACAAGCAGCGATCTCATACAGTGCCTGAAATCTAGCGAGAACAAGCAGCAACAGCTGGAAGGCAGAACCGGACAGTAGCCTGAAAAGTTCATTCATTTATTTTATGAAAGATTTATAGAATAATGGCTGACTTTTTGCCAGACTTCGACTTTGTGGAGGAGGAATTTGATTTTGCAGAGTTTGATGGCCGCCCTTATTTATTTGAGCCAGAATACACTGACGAAGAGCTTCGTGAAACTGAAGAACGGAGGAGGAGGAGAGAGAGAGGCGCAACAGGTAACGTTAGAGGACAAGAGGGGAGGAATGGCTGCTGCAAGGCTGCGTAGCTCTGGAGATTGGTGGTGTACCTGTGAATGCTGTGCCCCAGTGCCCACAGAAGAGGAATGCCTCTGTTGCAAGGAATGGGACCGGTTGCAGCCTTATTTTCAAGGTCTGGATGTGACCGAGGACGAGACACCTCCACCTGGAGTAGTATCCAGCTGGGCTTTATCTAGAGCTGGCGAGATATATTTCGGCTGTGCTTTGGAAAGCAGAGCTAGATGGTAAACAATCATGGCACCACACCGGTAAGGTA